AGTTCTACAGGAAAAAATTATTTTTCTAGCAACTTCACTTGAAATGATCATAGCAGATATTTCAGTATATAATTTCTAGTTTATCCCTTTCCTCTTCAAAAAAAAAAACAGATGGTTCCTCTGTGATGTCACAGGAGGGACATGAACATGGATTTGATTTGTTTTTGGAAGGGTACATTTTATTTTGATTAAATAAGTTAGAATCAAAATTGCCAGAAAAAAAAAAAGAACGATCTTAACATGTTGTCCTATAGTTGAGAAACTACACTTAAAATGAGCTTCATTTTTTTTTTTTTTTTACAGAAAAGCTGTGCTCATAGCTATAATGTCTCAGACACTTTTCTCTGGAAAAGTTGTAGGCCATGAAATGTCAACAGCTCTTATTCAGCTTTAGAAAATAAACAGTTTGCTCTGTTAACCATCATTTATTTTAATGACTGAGAAGGTTGCAGCTAACTGGTGCAGCTAAGTCTTGCCATCTGTTAAGTTTCCCTAATTAACACAATGTATCTCATTCTGTGTTCCAACTAAATATTATACTCGTACATTAAAAAAAAATAACAGAGACCCTAATCTTCCCGAGTTTTGCCTGAAAATATGAAGACAATTACAAAAATCTTATAGGTGATAAAGTTAAAATGCAATGGAAATGTTTTTAGTTTTTCCTGTTTCTGTTGTTGAGAAATAACACTGCAGTTCTTCCTTCCTTCCTGCATTGAAATTCTTACTCTGTTGGTTTCTGCCTGCAGACTCTCATCTCTCTGCTATTGTTTTTGTAAAGTGCTGCATTTGTTCTCAGAAGCTCTTTAGTGCCATGAGTTGTTTGAACTTTGTCACCAAAGTAACCCTGTACAGTTGGTTCATAAAGCCAAGACATGGAGACAAACAGAGGACATAAACACCGCCCACATGGGATGATTCATCAGGGAACAGGAAAAAGGAGGCAGGGAGCACACTTAAAACCAAAGCCTTTATTCTGGAAGGCAAGTAGGCTGAATTTATCCAAAGTGATGATCTGGCCTGGCAGTAAATCTGCATGGAGAGAATAAGCTGAAAAATTTTAAGCTGTCTGAGTTCGGAAAGTGTGTGTGAGAGGAACTACTAAAAATGTCAACTATAAAGGGATGAAGCAGCAGCAACCTGGCTGCCTGAATTTACATATAATGTGTTCTCTAATATTCAACCTTTAATATTGTCTTAGAAATTTATCACCAGTATCTATCAATAAATAATTAAAACGACTGAAACGGTTATGACTCCTACTGCCAGGGAGCTAGGTTCTATTAAAGTTTTTATGCAGTTTTCACCATACCTTTGAAAATAATATCCTTAACATTACTTAATAATCTTAATATTTTCTGAACGCTGATAAATAAAAATTATTTGAAATCTTTTAAAGATTTATATAGAACACAGCTTTGTGCCATTTTTGAAAATGCCTGAGAAGAATTCAGCCTCTTTCACTTTGAATTTATTATGATTTTTACCAAATATTTAGTCTGAACATTTTATTTAGTTCTGAATCCATTTCTGGCTTATGCATGCCTGCTATGGCTCCGGCTCATTGTGGAAACCTCCCAGGTTTAGAGCCAGATGGTTGATTGTTCACAGCATGACAAACAGGCTGGCTGTAACTCGAAGAGGCTATAAAGCAAGTGAACTGTTTCTGGAAAAGCAAATGCCATCATCATCTCTTAATTACAGAGTAAATATTGGCTCTGTTGGGCTGGATATACAACTGTTCTTCTTGTGAGACATTTTTCAAGGGCACATTGACATTGCAGACACTGTTTTTAATCTAAATTTACAAGCCACTTTATTCGGTACACCTCGCTAGTACCGTGTTGGACTCCATTTTAAAACTATTAATTCCTTGTGGTATTGATTCAGCAAGGAGTCAGAAACATTCTTCAGAGATTTTGTTGTAACAAGTTGCCTTGACAGCCTGATGCAGTTGTAAAAGGTTTGTCAGAAGCTCATCCGTGTTGCGATTGTCCCGTTTTACCCACCCCCAGGGTGCCTTATTAGATTAAGATCTGGTGACTGATTCGAGATGTTTGGGCAAGGCGGGCTACAGATTTTCAACAATGCTCTTTTCAACTGGTACTAATGGGTCCAAAGCAGGCCAAGAAAATATTCTCCCCACCATTTCACCACTATCATCTTAATCTGCTGGCAGGATGAATGCATGTGCCATAAGAGAGAGAACTGTGCATGAAATTCCCAGCAGATCTGCAGTTTCTGAAACACCCAGAACAGCGGGTCTTGCACCGACTCATGCTCATGCACCGTTTGATCTTCTGCAAGTCATCATCAACACATCTAGGTGCAACGAGTTGCTGCAGTCTGACAGGTTCTCTCATTTTCAGCGTAAGGAAGTGGAGAGGTGTGTCTAATAAAGTGGCAGGTGAGGGAATGTGATGCAGCTTCATTTAACAGTTGTATTATATTGTTCAATAACCCTATAAATGATGGAAGGCTACAGTCTCCTGTGGAGTGTCGGAGCATGAAGGGTCAAAGAATGTTCTTAGAATATTTTTGAATTCCCCTCTTTCTGTATCTGTTAGCAGAATCTGCTGTCACTTCTTTCTGACATACATGCATCTGATTGATTTGGGTAGCAATATTCTTGATAAGAATTCCATTATGGTACATATATACATTCTGATCTGCACTCATAACCTGTATTCTGCTATCTGATGAAAAAAAAATGTCTGGAACAAGTACTAATGTGACACTGCAAAGTGAAATCTACATAAATTTTAGATAGAAGGAGATGAAGTCATCTCCTTAGATATTTATGTAACTAAATTAGAATACCTTGCAAAAGCCAGTAAGGTGACGGCATGCATTCATATTTCAGCACAAAAAGAATCTGTCCCTATTGTTTAGCAGTGGCAGATTTTTTTTTTTAAAAGTAGATTGCCTGCATGAAAGATTTAGACTTCAGGACGGGTGCTGTGTCCTCCAAGTGCACGTGTCCTTTTGGCAACTCAAAGTTTTTTGGCAACAAGGGAAACACTTTACTACAGTCATTTGTGTGGCTACCACCCACTCTTTGTTTGACAATACCTTCTCTGTTATTCCAAATGACACATTTCTGTGACACATTAGCCTAGCAAACATATTTAAGGATCAAATATGGGAAATGTAGCTGTAATAACTACATCATGTATATATTTTCCCGTACCGTTCATACTTCATTCTTTTAGTAATATATGTCACCCAAACATGAGATGGGAGAGTTACCATACGTTTGGCTGTAAAACTGAACTGACCTCTTAGAGAGGATTTTATGTAGCAAGGATTACTCTATTCTTTTGGGACCCAAACAAATTCCTCCTCAGACAATCTTTGAGTGCAGGTTTTGGGAAGGATTCTCCAACACAGCTGTGTTTTTAGTGCTAGGCTTGGCTATCATATATTTTTAAGTTGGTAACTTTCTGTATTTGTGGCTCCCCCCTTCAGCTGCAGAGGAAGAGGCACATAGGCAACGACATTGTGGCCATCGTGTTCCAGGAGGAAAACACTCCCTTTGTACCGGACATGATCCAGTCCAACTTCTTGCATGCGTATGTTGTTGTGCAGGTGGAGAACGCATGCTCAGACAATGTTACATACAAGGTTTGTTTCACAGAATGACAGTTTTCTATTATAAAATTTTCATGTTTATCTGATAAACACGTTTCAGATCCATTTGAAGTTTGCTTAGAGGGCTGAATCCTAATTACTAGTGTTATCTCTTAAATTACCATAATGTTTTGACGTAATTATTTAGAGTCAAGGGAGAAATGGTTATTTTTTTTTCCTTATGAAATAGAACTTAAATAAAACCCTCTCAATAACCTATTAAACCATCTGTTTTTGCTGTTATGAAAAGAGACGCAACATGCATTTGCTTGACTTTCAATATGCTGTGCAACCTGATAACACACTGCCCTTATGTTTCTTTTTTTTTCTTTTTTGTTGCACCTACAAATACTAGATCAGCAAAGACTTCTCAGATCACATAATGATACTCACAGTAATTACTGTATACATATCAGTTTCCAAATGACACCTTTACCCTTTTGTCTCTTTGGTCAATAAATGTGATTTTCTGAATGATTCTTAGTAAAATTGAGAAGCGGTTTCAGCATGTGTGCATATTTTCTCCATTTGTGGATAATGTCTCTCACTGTGGTTCACTGGAGTATTAAAACATTAGAAATTATTTTGTAACACTTTCCAAACTCAGACATGTTAATAACATTCTGTTTTGTTCTTGAATTTCTTTAGATGTGTTTTCTTTCCTTTTTTTTTTTTTTCTAGCCTACTTCATGTTGTCAGACAGATCAGGCTCATTTTAGGGTTTTTCTTAATTTTAGTGGTTGGGCAGTAATCAGGCCTTGGTGTGGCCTATAAATCAAAGATAATTTGATTAATCACAGTTCTTTCATGATTTAACAAGATCATGGGCTGCAATTGCTTTTTCACATAGATCCAGGTTTGTTTGGATTTTTTTTTCACCTCTTAAAAAACATCCTGATTAATAAATGACATCACCATTCAGAAACACTTTTCACCAGTGTGTCTAAAATGCAAAAACAAAAAAACAATCTTTCTCACTTTTATGTTTTTTTTGTTTGTTTGTTTTTTGTTTTGTTTTTTTTTTTGCTCAGGTGTCAGTCACAGCTAGAGATGATGTACCTTTCTTTGGACCTGCTCTACCTGACCCCGCCATCTTCAGAAAGGTCAGCAACCAAACAAACACATCTGTTTCCCAGGGAGACGCCATATACCTTCCTTTATTCTTCTCCAAATCTTGTGTATTTTTCATCCTCAGGGCCCTGAATTCCATGAGTTCCTCTTCACGAAGCTTATCAATGCGGAGTACGCCTGCTACAAGGCCGAGAAGTTTGCAAAGCTGGAGGTGAGAAGCATATTTAAGAAAACATTGTCATTTTTTTCCCCCATTTATTATAATGTGTTTATTCATGTTGCTACAATCTAGCATCCGTCTGCTTGCATCTATCTGCAACCTACTGACTTCATCGTCCTCAAAAGTGAATTTTTAGATGTACTGTCACTGAAAATGTAGTGGATTTGTTTGTTGACAGGAGCGAACACGTTCGGCCCTGCTGGAAACATTGTACGAGGAGCTGCACATTAACAGCCAGTCCATGATGGGTCTGGGGGGGGACGAAGATAAGCTGGAGAACGGAGGTGGAGGCGGAGGGGGCGGCTTCTTTGAGTCCTTTAAGGTACCGCGTTATTTTTTATTTTTTATTGATTAAGTGCACTGGTTATCTGCAACTGCACATGCATGGGCAAGAGTGGTGATGAGTGGAAAAACTTTTCGGATATTTTTCTTTTCGTCCTCTCCTTTCTCTTGGCTGGGATTCTGGGTATTCACACATGAGGAAACAAAGCATAGAAAATGTGCAGTATCTCAAAGGACCAGTCCTTTGGCATTTGCTGTCCTCACTTGGCTGTGACTGCTGAACTCAGTGGGTTTTCACATGGCGCTGTGGCTTTGGAGGCTGCGGAGTGTCCTCTTGTGTATGAAAGGCACTTTGCTCTGACTGAGAGTTCTCCATCACTGACCGTGGTGAAGCGACACCCAGCTACTGAGGCATGGCAGCAGGAATTGTGATAGCTGATGAGCAATTTAATGACCCTTCATTACGCAGCTTATGATGCAATTTGCACATCTCCCCATGGGCAGCGTTCCATTAATGTTTTTCTTCAGCTAACCTTTTTTCTTCAACTTCAGTCTCAGCTGATCTCAGTATGTCTGTCAACCAGTTTTTCTCCAACCTTTTTTATAGACTACCTTAAATGTGCTCTTGCCCTTCTATTGCCAAGTTGCCAAATACTAACTTGCTGTCTCTTTGTCTTTGCCACCTTTGCAAGTTACATCTGTAAAGATTTTCCACTCTTCTTCGTCTCTGTTGTAGTACAGCTGGGTAGATTGCATTGTCCTGCTGTCTCTTAATTTTTGCAGTCCTTGTCTTAGTCGTCTTCATGTTTCAGACTCATCTACGTTCAGCTGATAATAGATCATTTTAATGAAGATGTATCTTCATCTTAAGCAACATTTTCTTAAGCAGCATACCCTTAGTTTACTTTCTTCCTGTTGTCCATTGATCTACACTACCAATAAAAGTTAAGAAACAGTCCTGCATACACAACACACCTTTGTATTCACACACATATTACTCACACATCCTATAAAACACTTGCTATTAAAACTACATTTCATTAATCACCTCAAAACATTTATATTTAATCACATCTAGCAACAGATCTAATAAACTCTGTTTTATTAATAATAGAACAAACTGACATGAATAAAATATAATTAATTAATTAGCCAAAAACTACTATAAAAAGATTGCAGTGGAAAAATTTAATCCATTTATGTGAGGTTTTCTAATGGAACTAGGTCTGTTTTTGATCAATAATCCTGCACCAACCCAGTGATGGTCCAGTTTCAGTTTTCTGCCAGAAGTCACCAGGTTTTTATTGAAATCTTCTCCTTACCTTTGAGAAAGAGGAGAAATTCCCCCACATCATGATACGTCTGCCCCCAGATCATTCCACTTTAAATCCCAGTAGTGTTTAGCAAGCCCCAAACAATTGGTTTGCAACTCTGGTTCCAGGAAACCACTGGTGGTTGCTCCAGATTTATTTATTTATTTATTTATTGCTTTGCTTTGCTTTGTTTTATAATATCACAGTAAGTCAAGATTTGGGCAAGTTCAGGCAAGTTTGCTTTGCCTGAACTGATTTATGACTTCATAAGTCATAAGTCCAGTTACAGCTGGACTTATGACTTACGAACATCAGCTGATTCTTCTGCTCTAGTTGAATGGCATGTTCTCTTGTCCTCCCCATTTTGATGACTGTCTAAGAGAAACTGATCTCTCTGTCATGCCATATGTACACACCAGAGAAACAGGAAGTTATACATTTAAAACTCCAAGACAATCTGACCATCTTGTATTCGAAGATGCTTAATTTTTCCAGAATGAGTTTATCCTACATTGAAAGAAAAAAAAAAATAAAATAATCTGTTAAGGCTTTTACACATATGTAGAAGGGTTACCAAAACGGTATAAATTCCCTTTATAGACTTGGGAATATTAGTCAGTGTTCTGGGTTTCCACACGATATGAAGGTGGATCCACTGACTATGGATATCTCCTCGTTCTCTCTGCAGCGGGTCATCCGCAGCAGAAGCCAGTCAATGGACGCCATGGGTCTCAGTAACAAGAAGTCACACACAGTCTCCACTAGTCACAGTGGCAGCTTTACCCATAATCCCGCAGAGAGCCCCAAAACTCCAGGGATTGTAAGTAGCTCATTTTGGTTGACATGCCGCTCATCTGAACACACACACCTCACATTCAGGACATGGTGTTTTCGCAGCACAGTGGGTAAACACGTGTTCAGAAGGGTCCCAACTCAAAAGCAGCGTGACAAAGTACTTCTACTGGCACCTCATCTGTATGTTCTTAACACCAAAGCACTTACTTTTATTTCTGACATTTTATAATCACTCTTGGTTTGTACTCATCTTTCACTAATTGACTCTTTCCATTTATGACTCATGGTGTTTGTGTTAATCCTGTTTTTCTGTTTAGGGGAGAGGGGGAAAAAAAAACATAAAACAAGATTTTATGCATTTTATTCATTGTCCTCTTTTCGAAGAAGTGTTGTTGCAGCATAAATTGGCAGGCTTTTAGCTAGGGAAAAACAGTGCCTATTTTGGAATAAAGGAAGTGATTGTTTTTGAGTCCCTCTTCCAGGGTTTGAAGTGAACTTAGACTAGCAGCTGTATGACTACCCAGACTCCCTCCCTCGTTGCTATGCTTTCATAATGAGTGTCTCCTCATTGCAAACACTTGATGCAACTTTGTGGATGTGTGGCTAGAGAATATGCATGGCACTTATCATAAACCTCAAGAGCACCTTGCCCTGTTTGTGTCTCCTTTTAATGTTGTATGTTTCAACTTTTGGGGAATTTCTTTTGCCCCATTTATGAAAAGCTTTTTGATGTTATAGTACCTGTTTGGAACGTCAGCCCCAGTTGTCCCCTTCTCCTCCTCTTAATGCATCAGTAAACAAACTTGTGTCCTTTGGGGCAGTGCCTGCCAGCATGCCTGCTGTGCTGATCCTCCTATGTTTGACCTCAAACTTCCTTAACCCTGCGAAGCTTTTCACTATTTCCTTTTCCTCGTGTTTGCTTTTTAAGTTATGCTGCAAGCCCCCTTTAAAGCTGTTTTGCTCCCTGCTGTTAAAAGTCTTTGTGCTCTGCGCATGAGATCTTATGATGTGTTCTTTCTTTTTCTTTCTCTCTCTTGCTTCTTCCATCTTTTATCTCCCCCTTTCTCTCCCTCTCTGCTTCCCTTTGCCCCATCTTGTGTGGCTCAGTCATTGCTTGTCGCGGGGAAAAGTCCCAGTAAATATGGACGCCGAGGCAGTGCCATAGGGATAGGAACAATAGAAGAGGTTCATGCATTTTCTCTCTTACTGTTTATCATATTTGTTTGCATTTCTAATGTGTTCTCTTCATGGAACAATTAGTAACATTCTTGTGTTCTAATCTAAAAGACATTAGATTAGAATGTGTTGTAGTTTATGTTGCTGCAGGCGGTGCTGTTAATATTACATGTAATTTGCAACCACATGTTTCAATGTCATTTAAGTCATTCATTCATGTAGTAAAAACTGATGTGTTTTATGATTTGACTGATAGAAACAAAAATATGAATAATGACATGAGGGAGGGTAGTTTTGTTTTAGCTGTTTGATGCTTTATCTCAGAGCTTGAAGCCTGAATGCCCTTAAATTTCCTTATTCGTAACTTTTTGTCTGAACTCAGATAAAACAAATATACAATTTTGTTCCTGCTTTTGGGGTGTTTTGCTTGGATATTGTACTGTAATACTTACAAAATTGATATCATATCACTATACATAAGAGAGTGTTCTTATGTACTTGTGTTTCAACAAATTAGAAAGAAGTACTACTTCTAAAACTCTTACAGCTTCTACAATTCAGCTTCAACACAAAAACCTGGACAAAAAAGAAAACAAAATATTACAAAGATGCAGTAATCTGGTTGCAAAGGTGTGCACATCTTTAGATTCATACTTATTTAAATCACCTTTTGATTTGATGTAAGCATTTAGTCTTTTGAGCTAACAGCGCTTAGTTATTTTTGTGAATCTGATGAAGCTGAAGTTACGTTAGTTGTTCCAGAAGGATTTCTTGACATTTGCACACTTAAGCAAAAGTCATAGTTTACAGAGACATTACTAATTTTAACAGGAGTGTGTACGTTTATGTGCATGTAGTACATGAAATACACAGTTGTCTGAATCCTGGTGTGTTTTTTTAAAACAGTACTCTGAACATTTATCACCATCAGATCATAAATTGTCAGCAGAATATTTATACATGTAGATGAATTTTATTTGCTTCAATTGCACTACAGTGCAGCATTGCAATATGCGCTACAGCACACACAGTATGATGAATGCTTTGCACCAATGACTTCCCCCAAAATGTGTCTCTTACTATTTTGTTTCTCTTGCACCCTGTTAGTCATTGATCATTCCTGGGAAAAGCCCAACCAGAAAAAAGTCTGGACCTTTTAGCTCGCGCCGCAGCAGTGCCATTGGCATCGAGAACATCCAGGAGGTCCAAGAGAGGAGGTGAGAGTACAGCAGGGAGTGGGTAGTGAGGACAGAACGTTGTTGCAACAGATGGAAGGAAGGACAACTAATTAATTCATTTCTCAGACTCAAAGTCTTGCTGGACACTCAATGGCTTTTCATACCTTACAAAAGGACTGATAGGCCCACACATTTTTCACATTTTCTTACTTTACAGTCACAGTCTTAGTGCAGAAGTTTGAAGTGAAAGATGGTAACACATGGTTTTCACAATTCTTACAAATAAAGATCTGAAAAGTGTGGTGTGCATTTGTATTCAGTTTCCCTGAGTCAATACTTTTGTCTTTTGGTTGTAAAATACTTTCTTTTTTTTGACATAATCCTCTATAAAAAAATTTAATTTTCCATGGAAGATTATTTTAACACCTTCATTTTTAGTAAAACTGTTGGAATATTGTTTTAGAACTTTACCTCACTCTCAACTTCCCCACAACTGTGTCTCTGTCTTCTGAGATCATTGGTCTTCCTGATGCTTTTTTCTCATTAATGTTCTCTAACAAACTTCTGAGGCCTTCAGAAAACTGTTGCATTTGGACTGAGACTAAATTACACTCACCTGGACAGTGTACTAATTAGGTGACCTCTGATGGCCGTTGTTGGCACTGAATTTTATTTCGAGGTGGGAAAGTAACCAGACCTGAATACAAATTCACACCACACTTTTTCAAATCTTGGCTTTTAGGCATTTTGAAAACAATTTTCCTTCCACTTCACTTTGTGTTAGTATACCCCCTAAAATCCCAATGAATACATTGATGTTTGTAGTTGCAGCTCAACAAAATGCGAAAAGGTTCAGGAGGCAAATTTCCTTTGCAAGGCATTTGTTGCTATTCTACTAGCAAATTTTAACAAGGCTACATGTTGTGATCAAATAAAGTTCAATGTAGCAGTTCATTTGTGGATTTTTATGAGCAATTTTTCAGTTGTACTAAGAGGCGCACTTTATTGGTCATAAAACCCATATTTTTACAATACTCCATTCTTCATATCAGTGGAGAACTTAAGCCAATTTGCTTGTTTTCATCGCCTGATTTCCCCCTCTTTGCGTCAGCCGAGAGGTCTCTCCCAACACCCAGAAAACTCCAGACTGCAGCCACTTGTCACAAGAAAACAAATCAGGCAACTCCTCCGCCCACAGTTCTCCGGAGTTTGCAGCCACAAAGAACAGGTGACCATCTCCTTTCGTGCTAAAGTTACACACACGGGAAGGCTTGTGAAATATGTGAAAAGAGACAGGTGTTAATAAGATCAAAGTAACCCAGGTGTGTAGTCTGGCGATGTGTTGCAGAGCGCCTTCCATCCCCGAGGCTCAGGACTTGTCTCGCTCCTCCTCCAACGCCAGCAGCTTCGCCAGCGTTGTGGAGGAGCACGAGGCCGAGGAGGAATATGAAACTGGACTGGTGGGTACAAGACGCAGGCACACTGATAAACACATTATGAAAGTGCATACATTATTAAAGTCACTCTGGGAAAACAAAGACGCTTGAATCTCTCCCCTGATTATACTGCCTCCATTAACTTTTGTTTAATATTTACTGTGGGGGGGAAATAGCAGAGTTTTAAGTCGGCAGCTGTTGCCTGCACAGTAAAAACAAAGAGCATGAAAAGGCTCAATGGATTTCATCACATCCCAATAATGACGGGCCTGAAAATGGACTGCACAGTCATACATATTAATGTGTTTATGCAGGTCATCTATTTTCAACCATGTGCATTTAAGAAAGGATTTAAAGCAAATGTACACCTGGAGTATTAACTCCCATTTAAGAGAGGTAGCTTCAACCAAACTGTAGTATTGTACAGTTTGGTTGAAGCTACCTCTTAAATGTATTTTTTATATATATATATATATATATATATATATATATATATATATATATATAAAAAGGAAGTATAAAAATCGAATTATACATCTTTTCACAGGACAGTGTGTCTTGTGTTACTCCAGTAAAAAAAGACTCGTTTGTTTATGGGTCTGCCGTGGAGGACAGTTCCTGCAGCCAGGGAAGTTTTTCAGGTGAGTTTGCGAGACGTTGGCTCATACTACCAGGCCAGAGATAGTCTGGAGGTGTAAGAAGCAGACAGACTGTGTCATGAATCATGAGAAAATCTATATTGGGGAAAAGAAAGAAGAACGCTCTCTGTTTCCTGGGCAAATCACGTCAAAGCGCACTTGAGCACAGACGTTCCCTTCATCAGATGTAACTTAGAGAGCTACTTAAATGACTAAGGTGTAGCAGCACAAAGCTAGCCGGGATTCCACTCCACATGTCTTAATGGCTAACTGTCCTATCAATCCTTTGCATTTTCTCAAATCTCTTTTTGTTTCCAGCTTGAACAGCTGGCAGCATTGTACGGTTGAGTTTATTACTCATGACAGCCACACATCTGTCCCCTTCCTCCAAGCAGCTTCCCGTCTACAGCAGCAAGCGGACGGGTTGAAGATGTCGGAGCCAAAAGGGACAGACAACCAGCCCAAGACGGAGCGCCCCCAGCAGGAGCAGAAGCTGTCGTCGGTGAGAGAAATTACTGAACATCAGTCACTAAATGACATTGTAATGGCTTCACACATCGGCAAGATGAATGCGCGCAGTCATGTATTGTTTAAGTCATCATTTCCATTAGATATACCCTAGATTCCCAGCTTAAGCTTCAGAAAGTCTTTGGGAGGATGACATACAGATGAAATACAAACGTTAAGCTCATATGCTGTTCATTAAGCTCATCTTCTCACCTTCATATTGCTGCATTACAGCCAGTATTTGTCTTTGGCAACTATTTTGTTAGGTCCAATATTTTACAGCTTAAATAGATTACGCTTCCATGTATCAAATCTCATGACCATTCATCCAGATGATACATATCCCCCACCAGTAGGGGGTGCTACTGTTATTGTCGTTAGAAGGAACAATAACAGTTAGCAAGTGGAAGTTAGCATGGATGTCTCTGCAGAATATTGTTTCCTTTTAAATCAACCAGGTTAAGTAGTTTTTAAAATATCTACATTCTAACGTGAGATCCATGAAGCTTCACAGGTCACATTTTGTGTTGATTTGCAGAACTGTTAGCTGCTGTCTTCTGATCACCATGCTGGCATCCATTTCAAGGTTGGACACATTGCTTACATAAATATTTATTGCTTGTCTTACTGTACTGAGCAATAACCGTCTTTACAGTTTATTTCAGTCAGACTTTGTTAAAAAAAAAATCTATTTACTTCTTGTCTGCCAAGTTTTCCTTTAATTACACTTTGGGAATCACCTGCCAGGTTCTAGAACGCTATATTTTACTTTGGAAGTTCTAGATTTCTGTTTATATTTTGATGGATTTATTAAAAATATGGGAACAAACAGTATGATTGTGACAATCTGACAGTTGGGTCGCATTTAATACCGTTTCTTTCTAATTTATCTAATTTGTAGATGTAGATCCATCCTTTCAGCTTAGCTCCCTTCATAAGCCTAATTTATTCATTGATTAGATTTAAGTGGCTTAACAAACAAACATAGAAAAATTAATTGTTCTGAAAGAGGTAGAGAACTGAAAAGGCTGCCAAAGTGGAATATTTAAAGACCTTCAGAAAGCCTGAGAAACTGTCGATCAAGAAAGTTTCTTTGAATACAAAATTATTCATTCTGATGTCTAATTTACTTTTATTTTATACCCCTTTTACTACACCTACACCCTTTTCTTCTTAGAGACGTTATTAATATAGAAGAGATAAAGACAACCGAAGGAGGGCAAGAGACGTCCGAAGCTGACGCAGAGAAGAAATGCAATTGGGGCTGAGCAAGTGATGGACAGATCCTCCCTTGATCGTTCAACACGGATCTGCTGTTTATCAGGACAGACATCCAGCTGCCTGGACATGTATCAACCTCTCGACCTCATTCCGTCCTCCATGTGGAAAACCTTGTGCTCAAGTGAAAGCAGCAGCGAACTGACTGTCCTTTGGCAGCTGGCTCAGCACAGTCAATCTGCTCACCTGCCCATTCTTTGGGCCAGTAAGCATCGGTTGTTACTGTAAACAAACTCTCAGACATTGTGGCTCTTCTATCAAAGACCTTACTTCCTTTTTTTTTTTTTTTTTTTTCTTTGAATAAGAAAATTCACAACAATCCAACAGATTGGGTTTGTCAAGCTTGTATAGAGTGCTGTAAAGCAGTTTCCTCCTTACAAATTTCTCTGTTTTTATTATTTTTTTTTTTTTTGTCACTCGTGTTTCAGATCATAAAGATAGCCTGGTTTGATGCAAATCGCAGTAAATAATCTCAGTTGTTGAAGCATAAAATCTGTCTTATCCAAACCAATTAGGCCCTATGTAAAAATAATAATTTACCCCTAAAACTGATAACTGTTTATGCAATCCATGGCAGTAACAACCACCAAGTATTTCCAACAACAACTCTTTTACATTACTGTGGATGCATTTTGTCCCACTCTAAATTTCTTTAATGCAGCCACATTGGGGTGTTTTTGAACTTGAGCTACCAGTTTGGTGTCACATCTGAAATGAATTTAAGTTCAGACTTTGACTAGGCCACTGCAAAATCTGTAATAGGATTTTTTTTTTTTTTACCATTCAGAAGTCTAATTTCTAGTGCAATTCTTGTTGTCTTGCTGTAGAGCTTAAGTATACTACTCTTTGGGAAGTTGATCTCAATGTTTCATATTTTCTTAAGCTGTGGAGAACGATTCTCACTGTGTTTCGCTGGAATCCCAAAGCCTTAGAAATGGCTCCGCAGCCATTTCTAGATGGATAGATGTTAATAACTTGGTGCCTTTTATGTTCTTAAATTTGTTTTATTTCAGTGTATTTTTTTTTCTTTGAGACCTTTTACTTCATGTTGTCAGATAGGTTCCATAAAAGATAATCCAAGAGTCTGGCAGTAATTGTATCTAGTTGTGGCATTGAAACCTCAACCAAAAATTTGACATTTGCAGTTAAATTGTGATTTAGTATGTGGGGGGACTCAGTTTTATTTTCACCGAGGGTCACATTGGTTTGGATAGCATTTTTCCCCTTAAATAAAATCATAATTTAAATATTGCTTTATGCGTTTACTCAGGTTATCTTTGCCTTTTGCTAAAATATGTTTGATTCGAAATATTTAAATGTGACAAATATGTAAGGAGGGCACTGCATGTTTGTTTTTTTAATGTCTAATTCACATCCCACTGTGACAATGTACATAAGTTTAACTTTGATGTACTAAGTGACTGTGGCTTTATGTCAGGCCAAGTTCTGTTTTAATGACAGTATATTCTTTTGTAGGTTTTCTGCTGTTATTTGTTGTGCTGTACAACAATCCTGGCATATTTGTTCTCTGCAGGAGGTCGATGCTGTTGCTAGTGGCTCTGTAAACCTCCTTGCCCTTGTTTTATAAACCATAGATGAAGTTAGACCTATGGTGAAATTGTCAGAAAAATAGTAAATATTTTCCAAGACATGTTGCAAAATCTCTCCAGATGCTCTTTGTTACACACCACCTGTTGATGTCTGTGTGCAGGTGTATTCCACAGTGCTGTGCATGGTGAAAGTCTGCTTGCCAAAGCCCCTTTTTCTTCTCTGCACACCGACACAATTCTTCACACAAAGGGATTGTCCTTGTGATTTGTGTTTTATCCTCAACCAGCCAACATTTCCAGATGCAGCGCACAATGCTGACAGGAAGCCAAATGTCACTGTTCCCATCCTTATGTGTAAAGTGTAATATATATAAATAACTGTGACCTACTGTAAGCACTACATTTCAGTTGTTTTAAAAATGCTGACCTTTTTGAAAAGTCCTGGTTTGTTGCTGAGAATTGATCACACTGTGATTTGTCTTGAAGTTGCCTTTTTAATTGTGTCACAGGAGCTGTTCTGTGGAAAGGTCATATTTAAAGGCACCATGTTGCCAGATGAATGTAAAACGAACTAGAAATTAGTTTAGTTAAAAAGGGAGAGACAGTTGAGACGTTTTATTTCAGTAAATTTTCAGAATATATTTATTATGTAGTTAACAGATGGAAGCATTTATATTGCATACAAAGTAAAAAGAATTTTAAGGCAGAAGCAAAGGTAGAAGTGTATGATGTATTCATTAAGGCTCTTTATAGTGACAAAAGTAAAGCGACATAGGAAAATAAATGATAAAAACTAGTAAGTATAATGCAGCAATGTCTTTTTAAGCAGATTCTTAGAGGGGAAAAAAACTTGGCTATTGAAAAGACTGCAGTAGATAACGTCTGCCCTCTTGTGGCTCGACATCGTTACTGCACATTAGTATATGGTACCATCATTGGAGTGCACGTGTTTGCACTGCATACCAGTATATATCAGCCACTAAAAACATTGAAAGAAATTATTTGCTGTGCTTATTTCAAATGATTGTATTTCTGTTCTCATCAACTGTTGGCTTAAACCCTTGTTAAAAAAACAACTTGTTTGTAAATATTGCTTTTCATCTTTTTTTTTGTAAATGAAATCAAGGAGAAGGTTTAATAAAAATGAGCACCACTAGCCCCAGAGTAATTTATTCTCAATAAATTGAAATCTGATTGTTACTATGCAAAGAATGAAAGTGATGTACTATTATGAAAGTATTTGGTAAGAGAGGAAAGTTATTTAGCAACCTGGCAGCAACAGTTGTTCTAAACAGATAACAAAAAGTACACTTCCTATTGTTCAAAAGTGCTCAAATCCAAATAAATTTGTCAAATAAATATCTACTATATGTGACAATTTAAATAAAACTATCATAGGCTTATGTAAATGTTACTGTAAGCCTATGATAAAATCATCTACCATCATTTAGTGTAACTTTATTTTGTGTGTCATATAAGCTGCAGTACGTCATGAAATAATTTAAACTGACAACTTGGATAGAACAGTCTAGAAAATGTAAATTTGACAGATGAAATTAATTCATGATGTGCATTATTAGACAATGAAATCCAAACAACCACTGAGATAATTATAAATGCTTTACGATGAGGAAAATTAAAAGCACATTTTGTTCCTTTTAAATCATTGGGTCATTCAATGAATTGTATTTATTTAATTTATCACATTATGTAAATGTTTACCAACAAATTTAATTTACTGAATTGTGGCACTTTTTGAACCCCATGTGTTTTAGGTAATAATCCTAAAGATAAAGCCATTTTATGCTAATTGAAAATTTGGCACCTTCATGCACGTATTGGAACTTATTAAGTAATTTCTTCTGTGCACATTTATTAGTTGTTGAATTTTGTTATGACTGACAGTAAAAGAAAATTCTTTTTCGGTTCAAAAGAATTCACAGGAAAAGCGGTGTGCATGCTGTGTAGCTGTGCTGATTACTATTCACTCTTTTTACACCATGTCAGATTTAAAGTGTGATTATCTCTTAAATGCAGATTTACATAAATGTATGACCGATTCAAGTGTTGAAACAAGGAATTGCCTTTCATGAAAATGTGATTGTTTAAATTTGATCAAAATGGTGTTGCAAAGAAGGAGAATTGTCATTTAAAGAAGACTTTCCTGTGATATTATAGAATATTTGCTGAACTGAATCTTTAAGGATTGTACCTTTGACCTTTTTTAGTTTTTAATTCACAGCTCGAGGTTCCACCATTTGAAGTCAAAAGGCTTTCTGCGGACGTTGGAGCCACAGTGCACCTCGCCCAGCAGTTTGTGGTAGGAGGCGAAGTCGTCAATGAAGGTGCACCTGAGGCCCAGGCCCTCCATCAGGGAGCACATCTCGGTCTCCAGGGCACAGCGTCCATTCACCTTGGGGCCAAACGGCTTTGGAATGCCGAGGTCTTTCCCCAAAACAATCATGTTGACCTGGAAATTGATATCAACATGAAGCCATGGAATTAGCTCATAATTATATACAGTGAAAAAGTATGTAGCCCCTCAACAGGTGTCCTCTGTATCTGCGTGTCACATGTAGACATTTCGCATGTAGGTATTAAGGTAATCTGAATATATAACAAAGACAACTTTTTTAAAAAAGTAAAGACATCCAAACCAACCTGACCTTTTATGAAATAAACTTTAAATGCTACTCTTTGTTAGATCATAAATTTACTGGAACTGTTTTATAAAATATGTAACTTAGTTCCATTCACTAAACCCCAAGCCTTACAGTCAGAGCTGTAGAAAAAAAAAATGTAAATGGAACATGACAACATGACACAGGCTAAAATATCTTAAAAACCAACACATCATAATCTAAAGATAATCAGATTGAACATGTCAGGGGTTAGGAGGCAATTCTCGGTTTGGACAGATTTCATTTCAACTGCAACAAAAACATAATTCGCCAAGAGGAAGAAATCCGTAGAAGAGTAAATATTTTTTATAACAATCAATTTCAATTTTCTGTTCATCTTAAATCAAAAGGAATTATTAAAACAAACCATATCAGGGTAGTAAGCCACTGCTCTGGAGCCATTCTCCTCCTCCTCCAGCTTAAACAGAATTGGGAGGTCAATAATGTCGTCATCATCCAGGCCCAGCTCTCTTTTCAGAACATCCCTGTTCCAGTCAATGCAGCTCTGTCAAAAGCAGGTTTCAAAGAAAAGTAAGGGAGGGTTGGCAATATAATTTATTAAAAGCAGCGGGAGAATTTAACGGAAGCCACAAACTTCATTCATTTCAACTACATTTATATAGACAATGAAAAAGAATCTCATTACATAAGTGTTAATACTTCAATCTACTCCTTTGTCAGAAAATTGAATTAAATTGCAGCATCCAAAGTCTTTGGTAGGAGTATATTAACAGCCATTATCTTGACTGTCCCTCCATATTGTGCGGCTCTAGTCCACAGTCCTCTACAGATGGGCAGAGACCTGCATTTAATTTTCTGTAATCTCTCTACAAACTATATGGCTTTAGCTTAAAGCATGTAAATGAACACGTAATCTTTCCACTGTGGTTTTAAAAAAATAATGTTCCATTAGAAAAAGACTATGAAATGGTTTAAAAACTTACCTGTCTGCATCACAAAACACTTTACCTGCAGTTTGCAAACCCACTCACCTGTACGTAGTTATTTTCATCTTGCAGATTTTCATCCCCCAGGATATCATCCACTGTCACTTCCTCTTCGTTTTT